ACATTAATGTTCAGCTCAGCAATCTTATCTGCTGACTGCGTTTCCACCATTAAGCACTGAAATGTAATAGTAATGGGCTGATACATTCTAAGACCTATGCTGCAAGCTAAGTGATGAGTGAAAAGTGTCTATAGCTGTTCATGGGGAAAACAGCTTGGTTCCTTGCAGCCTATTTCAGCAGATCTGGCAAATTCAGCTGATAACTTTGGCAACCACAGTGTCAATGCAGGGATGTAAAAAACTAATTTTTGACACATTATGGTATTAATGAAGAGACTAGCTAATTTAGCTGCTGTGACATCTCGAAGGATTAGTGAAGCCAACCTTTTAGCAATGGTTAGTCACTATGCCCACAAGACATTAGATCATCTTGATTTCAGGAGAGACAATTTGTGTCAAAGTTTGCCATCCATGCAGGATTTCTGCATCTGACAGTAATGTTTAACTACAAAGTTGTGGCTTGATTTTCAGCAACAGCTACTGATCACTATTGATAATTCCCAGGCAAAAAGTTTGCAGGCTAACATTAGTGTATCATAGTGTGGTTAACAGTGAATTAAGTGCAAAGAGCATTTCACTACCTCCAAGTGGTAGACTTTCTCACACATCTGAAATAAGAGTTGTCACTGTTAGCTAAGTACTGACAAATTGAATGATCTTTTGATTTCTCATAGAAAGAAACAGAAAAGTCTGGTACATGCCTGAAACGTGCACCACAGACTGTAACTTTCCAAGACAGAAAGGTTCATGATACTGGTGTGGCAGATGAGCTGCACTAGCCAGCAGTAAATAATGGTCCACGGCAGATGAAGGAAGAAGCTGAAGTGCTGGAATGGGCTGGCAGACAGACAAGTGCCCAAGAAACATCAGTGCATTTGCTGCCAAGGCAAAAATGGTGGGCAGTCGGAGTTGGAAGTATCAGATAGTTCTAGTTAGAAGATGAAAGGTAATTTTCAATTGTTAAGTCAATTAAAAGTTCATATGAGCATTTGGGCTGAAACCTGGGACAGAAATTCAGCCCTAAGTGATGACTGTAATCCAGATCCTGAAGTCACTGGGGCCTTGGTCTCCATGGATGCGCATTTCCCACCTCAAAGACTGTCCCACAGGAGAAGGGAAGTACTACAATTTTTTGTTTGAGATTGATTCTTTATGAGACAGCGCTTTTTAATTTTTAGTCACTAAGTCATAATAAGTCACTTTTTGATTTAAGTCACTCAGTCACTAAAGTACCAATACACTGAAAGTGTCAGAATTTCAAATTAAATTTACTGCTGTCAATTTTTAAATTTTCTTTTAACCGTGCACATTTTGAATACTATGCATTAGAGCATGATAAAATTTACTTGAAATGGTTATCTTTACAGAAGTCAAGATAGTTATTAAGTTGTAATGAAACTCCAATTGCTAAACACAGCAGATATACCCCTTCAGCTTCTGTGAAAACCACAACTCGATCTTCATACAGTTTCACCTAGCTCGAAGTTCAATCCCTTTCTGCAGGCCAGCATTCAATAAATTCATTTCTAGCAGGACTGTCAATGATTGCTGTCTTTAATGCTAGAGGACAATGGAACTTAGATGAGATAGGAAATAACTATAAATGTTAATTATCTTGCTGCAAATGGGAAACCAGATGATATCTGGTTATTGCATACAGGAAAAAAGTATGAGAGCTACTTAGCTTATAAATACCAGATATATACATCAGGAGGAAGCTGATGAGTTACAAAAAGACAAATGCAGCTCTGTACTAACAAGGGAGCAAGAGAGATAGAAATAGAGTATGTGAAATCATTCACGGAAGGGCTATTTTTCTATCAGATAATTTGTATTTCCCTCTAGCAGACAGATTATAGAATCACAAAGTGGTTGAGGGGCTCAGATTGGTAGGATTTTTTGAATCCATCAGCTCCAGTCTGTGCCCAAGCAGGGAGAGCCAGAGCAGGATGCCTAAGATCACATCCAGACAGTTGTCAAAGATCTCTAAGGAGAACACTCCACAACATCTGGACAGCTTGTGCCAGTGCTCTGTCATTCGCACAGCACTGAAGTGCTGCCTGGTGTTCAGAGGAAACCTCCTGGGTTTCAGTTTGTGCTCACTGCCTCTTGTCCTGATACTGGACACCACCAGGAAAAGCCTATCTCTGTTTTCTGCACTATTGCATCAGATGTTTGTACACTTGGACCAAAGATCCTCCTGAGAAAGCTCTTCTCCAGGCTGAACAGTTCTGGCTTTCTCAGCTTCTCCTCACAGGAGAGGTGCTCCAGGCCCTTCACTATCTTGGTGGCCCTGCATTGTCCTCTTTCCAGTATGTCCCTGTCTCTCCGTAATGGGGTTCCCAGATCTGGACACAGTGCTCCAGATATGAGCTCTTCACTGCTGAGTAGGGGTAAAGATCACACCCTTGGACAGGTGGCTCAGTGTGATATGGGGTCGGTCACACAAGCAGCATCCAAAAAAATTATGGAGTCAAAGCAAAACTGATCTGCACAAAAGATTTGAAGCTCTCTGACAAACAGTGTTAAAGTGTGTTTATGTGTGATGCATTCAAGTGTGTACAAGCATGCTCATGTGTGTTCAGGTCTGTGGTGTGCTCACAAATGCATGTGTATAGCGTGTACATGTGTGTTCAAGTATGTTCAGATGTGCAGTGCTTAAATGTGCATTCACATGTGTCAGGCATGTATGTGTTCACAAACATATGTTCACACATGTTCGCACATGTGTTCACGTGTGGTGTCTGAGCATGTCCACACACGTGTCCACACAAGTTCAGATGTATGGTATGTACATGCATGTTTACATGTGTTCAGGTGTGTAGCATACGCATGTGTGTTCACACGTGTCTGCCTTGGTTTATACACAGTCACAGTTTTCCTAATTTTCTTTACTACAGTAAAACGAAAAGATTAGGACCACCATGGCAATGTGGTAAAATGCAGAGCATCAGCCCCTCGTAATTCCCCACAGCACCGTAGAAAACCCTTCAGCTGTGTCTTGCAAACATTTATGCACAAGCTGAACTTCATGTACTGTGATTAATTTCCCTGACACCATGCGGGTTTCATTGCAGCACATAAAACCAAACACAGACTTATATACTTTTAGGATCAGGACCTACTTAGTGCTACTCAGCTGTGATTTAATGCATCTGTACTTCATGTGCAGCTTACTAAATGTGAGATAATTCTGTGTTTTCATACAGTTTTTGCGTATTTTTCTCCAGAACAGCATGTATGTTGCTTCAACATTAATGTTGAAAGTGAAATACTCCATAGTGACTAATGTTTATTTAAACAATTATAATACTGTCTAATGCAGCTGGGAACGGAGGTACAGTAGCCTCATATTTAGAAGCATGGCCTTTTATATAACATTAGAGAGCTCTAGTGGGCATGTTGCCCATTTCTAATTCTCTAGTGGCTTCTATTTTTCACAGGCATTAATGTTCTAATCACAATGTATCTTTATAACATTTTCCTTGTGCTGATCAATTATCATAAAATCAGTGATTATTTAATACATCCTCCCACATATACTATACATATACTAGGCTATTCAAATAACTTCCGGTATAAGAGATAATGGGGCACTTCTAGTCATAAAATAGTGCCACACATGTAAAAAACATAGTGAAGGAGAACACTGGAAATATATAATAAAAGCAGAAAAATCCCTTCTCGTGAATGGCAGAAGCATTTTTGTTTGGATTATTCTTAGTGCAGCTATCATGATGTGGATGAGTATCAATGTTTGGAACGTAAGTAGGTAGTCCAGTATCAGACTTTACAACCTTAGATGTAATGCACATACATATGCAGGCACAAATCCATGCACAGGTTAAGGAAGATTGCTATTACAGCACTTAAGCTTTGCAAAGTTGGAGATGATGACCTTTGCTTATGACCTTATGACCTAGGCAGGCAAGCCCTAAACAACAACTCATGCTTTGAAGCAGTATCATTCCAGGTATGACAGAGATGGGTGGTGATATCCTTTAGTTGCACGCCCAATGCTCATCAGCTGCACAGGGAATCTCTGGATTGAATTCTCAGAGAGACATATTGGACTTCCAGGGAAACTGTATGTACTCTCCCACCAAAAGAACAAACAAACAAACAAACAAACAAACAAACAAAAAACGGAGGCAAAAAGATGGCTGAAACACTTAAAGACCTAAATGTACTGATGAAAAATATTAAGTACTACAGCTGCTATGTGATGTGATGGTATCACAGTACCATCCAGGTATTTTTTTCAGTTTTTTCACTGCTGATAGCTGGTTCAAAAATCAATATTTTACGTGTTCAATTCTACAGATTGTCATAGGTTTGAAGAGCAGTAGCTGAAGTTAGGAATACTCTTTTCTAGCTATGTGTAGTTAATTATTTTTAACTCTTCATGGTACTTTACATTTCATCTTCAAACTGAGCATGAAATAATTTCTATGTGACATTTATTGTCCAATAAGGAACTTCAAGCTCTTTTAAAAAATATTTAATGTCTTTTCCAGCTACAATGATTGAACTGCACAGCTAAATTAAAATAATGGAATTTTTAACCCTTATTGATTCTTAAAACTTTACAAATTCTTAGATTTCAAAATCTGGTTATGTTTTTTACCAAAACAAAAGCAGTGAATATGTAACAACACTGAATGCTGTTTCTGACCCAGCATTTGTTTTCTCCCAAGACAGCACTTGGTGCAGAGGACTGGCCAAAGACCACTGAAATCAATGGAAAGGCTACCAGTGACTTTGATGGAATATGGACTGGGTTTTGAGTATAAGACTAATGAATTAATTGACTCATTACAAAGTCTGAATTTGTCTTTGACAGATGTAAAGCAGTACATTAAACAAATAGCAGACATTTTAACCCCACCCTTTCACTCCCAGGAATTCAGACTCTTTTTTTCTGTTAGCTCCATTAAGGAGCCCCAGCACTTGCACAAGAAAAATGAATGACTGAAGTACATATAATTATTTGTACTTACAAGTATCTGGTTTGAGCTGACTGTTGGTAATTCCAAAGTACTGGGGATTTTCAATGACAGGAATCTTTGTCATCCCAATGATGACCGCATCAGGACCTCCCTCAGAAGAGGATGGAGTGTTACTGCCATTTGAGATGTGATGGAGAGGACTGGCTGAATCGTCGTCATTGCTGATAACTGAAGAAGGACCTAGAGTTAGAAAAAAAGATTTGCCTTAACTCAGCATGTTTCCTTTCCCTCAGACCATTCTTTTTTATTTACTTTTGTCAACAGTTTAACCTCCATCCTGATAGTCGAACACTGTCTTTATGTGCTTTGGTGATCTGACCTCATGAATTTTATATGTCTGGGTGGAGATGTACAAATGGTAGGCCATTAGGAGTTGGAATGTGAAGCAAATTTTTGCACTGGCAGATCACCTAGACTAAATGTGTCAGAATTTAGTATGGTGTATTACTGGGAAAGTTCTCCAAATTTGATGAATTCGTTCTATCATTCACTGAAATACACATTAACTTTTTCAACTTAAGCTCTTCTCAGATCACCCAGCAGTAATGCCTTTTTCACTGACTTTGGGAAATGCCTGTCTTCTCTTTGATGTGGTATTAAAACAAGAAAAAAAATGGATGGGAGATGGGCTCACCCTAATGGGGGAATTTCTGTCATTTCTGAAAAGCAAAATGGCTGACGGTCAAAACTGTATGGACAGTGTTGACAGTCACAGAAGGTCACATGCCCAAAGTAGTAGAAAAGACATATCACATCCCACTGTGAAATACGGAGTCATTGCACTCTGGCTTCTCCTGTCCAGAACATTGTTCTGGCTCTTCCAGCCCCATCCATACCTGAGATGAGTCACATTCCAGAAAGAGGCTTATTTTGGTCAGTGATTTATTGAGAGTTTTGTTTTATTTTCACTTCATGATTTACGTGCCATGGAGATAAAACCTTATAACCACTCGAAAAAAATGCCTAGCTGTGTTCCACTTGTGTAAGCCACTGAGGCTTCTGATCTAACAGCAAGATCAGTGCAGATACCATTTGAACTCTTGTGATCTAACCCTGCTATCTAAATTCTCCATAACTTCCAGTTTACTGTCAGTATTCAAAGAAAACCAGTAACCAACTAGCAGTAAGAATATTTTGTCTAACCAGACAACGGAAGAGCCAATTGAGAACAAGAACTCCACATTTCAGATAATTCTCCATCCAAATTAACCGGTGATTTTGAGGAGGTATTCGCATCATCTAATGTGAGCAATCAATAGATGATGCTAGAAACAGAATGATTCACTCTCTTGATGTGCCTATCCTGGAAGGACATCCTCAGAAGACACCTTTGTTTGCTTCCACCCTACCTGCTAAAGAAGGAAGTAGCAGAGAGGAGAGTGGAGAAGACTAACAGATGTGTTTACCCTGGGACATGAGCCACCCCTTATCAAAATGTCCCAAACTGGATTTTAGGTTGGACAGAACAGTGCAGAGTTACAAAAGATATAAGCACCCCAGCACAAAGATGGCATCTGTATCAGTGGTAGAGATGAAGGATACAGAAACAGAGAAACTGGGAACCAACACAGAGGATCTGAGAGAAGATGAGAAGGATTTACCTCAGCATAGGCACAAATAAGAAGCAAGGGCAGGCCCAAGTACATCAGCCTAGAAAAATCTGCTTTAAAGAAAGGAAATTTAGCCTCTTTTAATGTTTTGTGGTGCACTATATCGTAACAAAAACACTTTATCATTTCATAGTATGGCTCACAGGAATAAAATAATTTGGCATGTGGCTATTCAACCCTTGCTTTAGAGATTCGAGCATACTCCCATGCCTGTCCTGCTTTCCTTTCTCCCCAGTTGGCTTAATGGTTCATGAAGGAAATGTTCTCATAGTTTGAAAAAGTATTTCTCTCCCTCTAGCCTGAAACATTAGAGGTAATTTTTCAAATGCCTTGCACTTCACTGGAAAGTCATTGTTGACAAATGTAAGTGAAGCCTAGATCTCTGCAATTTATCAAGTGAAATACTAATACCAAGGCTGTTTTTGTCATTACCGATCACTGAGATTGATTCTACTAGGAAAACTGCCAGGATTAAGAGTTTTTGGTGAAGATTTCTCTAATGAACTGCAGAGCCTAGCAAAGTGTGGGAAATGGTCCCTCAAATGACACACGAAATACTTACGTAAAGTCACAACGTATTTTTCGGGTGTGTGAGTTGTGTGTAGTGCAATGAGAGTGCAAATACATTTAAAACCATATGCAATTTTTTTGTTGAGATTGTCCTAAGGTGTCTTAAATATCTGAATGCCAAGCTAATGGCACCAAAAAGCAAGCAGGCAAATACAAGTTGTCTCGGGAAAATGCAGTTCTTTTATACTAACAGAAAACTTGTATGAGGGTCAAATCCCTTCTCTTATAGCAAATGGACAAATGCTCCAGCCTCTGTAATTTCATAGAGGTGATGGCAAGGAATCACATATTTCTAGATGTTTGAGCAATATAATGAATAGAATCTCATTCTGTTGTCATATTATTTCTTCACTACTCTAAGACCCCATTTTGCACAGCATGCTATTTTTTTTCAGTCAGTGTAAACTGCAAAGAGCTGCAGGTGAAAAGTAGCCAATTGTTCTATAAATCTATTTACTCAATTAAGATAACTGCTATCAAATTGTCATCCCTGTGGCTTGAAGGTGGTTCCACGTGTATTAGACTCTCTGATGTAGATGAGGAAAACCTGGAAAACTAAATGATTCCTCCACAGTAGGAAACAGTTTAAGACAAAGTAAAATGTAGGAAATTTGTGCTGTGTCATTTGTTGTCCATTGTCATTTATTAGTAACGAATTAGCCCATGCAATTGTCTTTGGAAACAGTTGTTTGGATTAAAAAATCCTATTTCCTTTTACTGTATATTTCTTCCAGTTAAGCCAAATGCAACACAGCCGATGGAAATTTTTGTCTACCAGAGGCAGTTGAGCTCAGATGCTTTTAAAGAGCCTTTTTCTGTTAGCATCTTTTAGAGAATATGAACAAACTGACAGACAAACTGTGTCAATACTTGCATATCTGCCAGACTGACCACTTGCTGTGAAGATGCATTTCATTTTTTGAATGCATTAAGTGATATAACAATTACAGATCAGAACTGCAGCTCACTTCTCACAGCAGCAGCCTATGACTTATATTCCAGTAATGCAAAGCCATTTTCCTGGATGAAGCAAGATGAGACCATCATCTGTGCTGACGAGAAACTAGAATTGCCCTTTTCTGAATTTTCACTGAGCTCAAATCTAAAGATAATTTCTTAAAGTACCTTAAAGTATTCTTTCATGAAGATTAAATGGGGATGCTTCATTATTTGTTAAAAGCAGAATGAGTATGACAATTACCTGCAGTCTACTATTATTGATTCTGTTTTTTATCAAATCTGCTGTTGGTTTCACATCCAAAACCCGGAAATGTTGGACAAAATGTCTTTGGTGGAAGTTAAAATTATGGGTTATGAGTAGTCATTAGTTACTGCCAATAGCAGTCTCATAGTCAGCTTAAGCAGTTAGGGAAACTGCAGAGGTTTTCTCTGCCTTCACTATGCTACCCAACATCTTCCTTGTTACCGCTTTTTGACTGCATTTCTTGTTTTAAGAAGACAGAAGCTGGAGCCAGATGAGAAATGGTAGGCTGCCTTAGAGAAGAAAGATGAGAGCTACACATTACAGAGCTGAATTTCTCCACTCTCTGGTGCTGAGCTAAGAAACTGTCCATTCTGCACAGCCTAGGCTCAAGAAAAATCCCTCTGTGTAGAAAAGAAGCAGCTATCAGACAAAATGGTGACAAGTAAGAAAACTAATTATATTCTAAATTGACAAGCTATAGAAAACCCAAAACACTCCTCATATCCCTAGGTTGTGAATGATCCTAAGACATGGCATAGGGATAAGCAGGAACAGCAGGCAACTCTTGCTGCATGCCCTGCATAAAACTGGAGAAAATCACACGCTATGGGGGAAGGGAGGTCTTGTTTTATCAGCGCCAGTGACAGAACAGGGCACCCCTCTCTGAACACAACTCATCCCTGCATCTCTGTGCTGCTTCCTCAACACAGTATCTCCACACTGTCCTTGACTTAACCTCACATCAACAAATATCAATTTTCTTAGATTTAGAAACAAAATTTAATACTAATAACAATTTTCAAAGCATGCTGTTATTTCTGACCAAAAGAAAAAGTTTCATGATCACAAATTCCATCCTTTCATTCCACCCCTGTGCCATCAAGAGGCAATGCAGTTCTAGCATGTGTGCTCCCAACACATATCTATACTGTTATTTGCTGGGGCTGGGTTTTGCTTCACACTATTCCAGACTTCAGCATATAATTAAGAAGTCTGCTGTGGCAACATATCTGACTACAGACTGCCATTGAAATAATCCACATGACCTTCCTGTGCGTAAAAGTACGGAAATAACCCTGTAGTGAATAGTAGCATGAGCCAGCCAAGTAGGCTCAAAAAATAAAAATGAGAGCTTCTCAAAGGCAGAATTGGAAAGAACACATGGTTTTGGTTTGCATCTGGCATGGCCTTGTAAACATATATTCTTAGACTTCAGTTTAGATGGTCAAAAAAGTGATCACTGTGTCTACCTACTTCTCCTTTCACCTACTGCATCAAAGATAAAACCAATTTACTTTACGCGTATTTGCTCCCTAAACTCTAACAAGATCTCTTGAAGACTGCAATATCCTGAAACCCCCTCACAACACACTTCCATGAGTTACACATCACTTGAATTATCCCTGAAGTCACTACTAATGTCTCAGCCATGCTGAAAGTCATAATTACCAAAAACCAGCCTATTTTAGTATTGTGACAGGAGCTGTTTAGTTATGAGCACATATATGCTTAATCAAGTAAGAAGGCAGCTCAGATAAAGAGGATTATTTATAGAGTTGATTTTTGTGCCATGATGTCTTATTAACTGTGGCTCCTTCAATGAAAAATGACACTGTTAGCCTGAAAGATTTCCCAGTTGATCTTGCACTAGCATAAGTTCTTTTTGGAGTCCATGCAGGGACATACCTGCATGACACACCACAAGTCAAAAGCGAGACAGTAAATACATATCACATCAGTCAGCATCACCTCTGCTAGATTTTAAGGCCATAATGAATCTTCTCTCTTCTCTCCTT